CAAGGAGAGCGCCGCCGCTGCGCCCGGGTCACCCACGTAAGGGAGCGGGAGGTCAGGCTGGGGTCTCCGAGGCCGAGGTCAGGAGCAGTTCTGCGAAGCCGGTTTTGGCCACCGGAGCGCGGAGCCAGCGGCGTCCAGCAGTTGGGAGACACAGGCGAGTGCGCTTCTCCCAGGCGCTGGGACAGCAGTGCGGCTGTTGCACGGCACGCGGTCCTCGGAGGGGTCCGGGAGAAACTACCCTCCCGACTCCCAGGCAAAAGTAAATTTTGTCAGTGGGAGCTGGGAGGGTAGGGAGGTGCCGTGTCCCGGGGGGAAAAGCGTCGGGCAAGTTGCACACTTGGGGACCTGGAAACAACTTCCAATTCTTAAGCGCTCAGGAAACCAGCAGAGGCCGTCGGGATCGGGTGGGGGTGGGGGTGGGGGCCAGCCTGGAGTCTACACTCGCATGAAAAGGGGGAAGAAATCTGGTGATCGCTTGTATTCGAGAAGAAAGCGGGTCGCGGAGCTCTGATCTCGGCAGAGGGAGGATGGAATGAGCGATTCCTAGGGGTTCTGTCCCGGGAGCCAGAGGAAGGAGGAGAAACAGTAGCTGGGTCTAGCTCTATCCTTGCCAGCGCTCCTTTATCTTTTTATAGCCAGGGAGCTCTTGGAGGGTCTGATGAAAGCTACGAACTCCCTCCCCGGAAAAATGCGTGAATGCACATACTTACAAAATGTGGATATGATTTCGGGATCAAAGACCCACTGAAGGCCATCCATGGACTCTCTATCGGAGTTAGTAATTTCATGATCTGTGTGTGTTTTTCAGCGAGACCCCAATAATTTACATCCAGTCGGGCCAGTCTGCCCAGGCCCTGGCCTAAGCCATTCCACGCACAGTTGCTGCTGGCTGGTGTGGCCTGAACGCCCCCACTCCCCACCCCACCCCCACCCCAGCTCTGCGAATTTTCGTGAAGTTTCGTTTTCGTGAGACTCTGATGCTTGGATTTTCCCTCACATCTGAGAAGCAGAGTTATGTTGGTGACCTGGTTGCTTCCTCCCAGCTGGCTAGCAGTGTCACAGGACCCCGAGAGCTGGCAGCTGGGGCAGCTGGATTGCACAATGTGAAAGTGAAATGCAGCCTCAGTCAGAGCCCAGCAGAGAGGAGGTGTCTTCCTTAAAGACTGAGTGGATAGGGAGCACCACTGTGAGATCTCCAACCTCATCAGCGGCACAGCCTTGCTTTTTGACCTTAAAAAGGTGTTGCTGCCTTCCCTTCCCAAAGCTCTCGATGTTGGTTTTTTTTTTTTCTTTTTCTTTCTTTCTTGTTTTCTTTTTTGAGATGGAGTCTCACTCTGTCGCCCCGGCTGGTGTGCAGTAGCGCGATCTCGGCTCACTACAACCTCCGCCTCCCGGGTTCAAGCGATTCTCCTGCCTCAGCCTCCTGAGTAGCTGGGATTACAGGCGCCCGCCACAACACCCGGTAACTTTTGTATTTTTAATAGAGACGGGGTTTCACCATGTTGGTCAGGCTGATCTTAAACTCCTGCCCTTGTGATCCGCCCGCCTCGGCCTTCCAAAGTGCTGGGATTACAGGCGTGAGCCACCGCGCCCAGTCGATGGGTTTTTTTTTTTTTTTTCTTCCTTTAACAGCCTTATTGAGGTATAATTGACAGACAATAAACTGCATATGTTGAAGTTGCACACTCTGATAAGTTTGGAGGTAAATGCATACATACTCATGAAACCATTGCCACCACCCAGAGTGAACACAACTATCACCCCCAAAGACTTCCTCATGCCCTGCACAATCCTCACCTCCCACCTCGCCCATCTCCCAGGCAACCACTTATCTGTTTTTTTGGTCACTATCAGTTTGATGCACTTTCTAGAATTTTTCATGAACAGAATTATACAGTAGGAACTCTTTCTTGTTTGGCTTCATTCACAGACAGTAATTATTCTGAGAATTTATCCATGTTGTAATTTGTATAAATAGTTCATTGGGGCCGGGCGCGGTGGCTCGTCCCTGTAATCCCAGCACTTTGGGAGGCCGAGGCGGACAGATCACGAGGTCAGGAGATCGAGACCATCCTGGCTAACATGGTGAAACCCTGTCTCTACTAAAAGTACAAAAAAATTAGCCAGGCGTGTTGGCGGGCTCCTGTAGTCCTAGCTGCTGGGGAGCCTGAGGCAGGAGAATGGCGTGAACCCGTGAGCCAAGATCGCACCACTGCACTCCAGCCTGGGGGACAGAGGGAGACTCCGTTTCTAAAAAAAAAAAAAAAAAAAAAAAAGTTCACTGGTTTCTACCACTGAGTAGTATTCTACCCACGGCTAGCCCACCATTTGTTTACCATTCACTTGTTAAGGGACATTTGGTTTGTTTCCAGTTTGCAACTATTACATAGAAAGCTGCTCTGAACACTGACATACAGGTTTCTGATGGACACATGCTTTCATTTCTCATGGGTAGAGAATGGTTGGGAGTAGAGCGGCTGTGCTATATGGCAGGTGTATGTTTAATTTTTTTTTTTTTTTTTTTGAAACAGCGTCACACCATTGTTGCCCAAGCTGGAGTGCAGTAGCATGATTATAGCTCACTGCAGCCTTGACCACTCAGGTGTTTAATTTTTAATTTTTATTTATTTATTTTTAATTTATTTATTTTGAGACAGAGTCTCACTCCGTCACCCAGCCTGGAGTGCAGTGGCTCCATCTCTGCTCATTGCAACCTCTGCCTCTCGGGTTCAAGTGATTCTCCTGCCTCAGTCTCCTGAGTAGCTGGGACTACAGGCATGCACCGCCACACCTGGCTCATTTTTGTATTTTTAGTGGAGATGGGGTTTCACCATGTTGGCCAGGCTAGTCTTGAACTCCTGACCTCAGGTGATCTGCCTGCCTTGGCCTTCCAATGTGCTGGGATTACAGGTGTGAGCCACCACACCTGGCTTCAGAAGTTTAATTTTTAAAGAAACTGCTAAACCATTTCCCAAAGTTGTACTATTTTACATTCCCACAGCAGTGTAGGGAAGTTCTAGTTCCTTCACACCCTTGTCAGCCCTTGGTATGATGAGTCTTTTTAATTTCACCCACTCTAATAGGTATGTAGGGGGTTTCTCCTTGTAGTTTTAATTTGCGTTTTTCTGACAGCTAGTGATGTTGAGCATCTTGTCATGTGCTTATTTGCCATGTATATATCTTCTCTGGTAGTGTCTGTTTATATCTTTTTTGCTCTTTTAAAAATTGAGTTGTATCAGCTGGGTGTGGTGGCTCACACCTGTAATCACAGCACGCTGGGAGGCCACCGCGGGCAGATCACCTGAGGCCAGGAGTTGGAGACCAGCCAGGTCAACATGGTAAAATCCCTTCTCTACTAAAAATACAAAAATTAACCAGCTGTGGTAGCCCATGCCTGTAATGTCAGCTACTCAGGAGGGTGAGGCAGGAGAATCACTTGAACCCTGGAGGCAGAGGTTGCAGTGAGCTGAGATTGCGCCACGGCACTCCGGCCTGGGCGACAGAACGAGACTCTTTTTTTTGAGTCTGTCTTAAGAATAAAAAATTGAGTTGTATCATTATTGAATTTTGGGAGTTCTTTATATACTCTGGATACAAGGCCCTAATCTGGTATATGATTTGCAAATATTTTCTCAGATTCTGTGGCTTATCCTTTCTCTTAGCAGTGTCTTTTGAAAAGCAGAAGTTTTTAATTTTTATGAAGTCTAATTTATTAATTTGTTATGTTGTGTTTTGGGCTTTTGGTGTCATATCTAAGAAATATTTGCCTAGCCTAAGGTTACAAAGGTTTACTTCTATGCATTCCTGTAGAAGTTTTATAGCTTTAGGGTTTACATTTATGGCTGTGTTCCATTTTGAATTAATTTTGTTTATAATGTGAGGCACGAATTGAAGGTTGTTTTGGGGTTTTATTCGTTTCTATTTATGCATATCCAATTATTCCAGCATCCTTTATTGAAAAGATTATCTTCACTGACTTGCTCTTATGCCTTTTGAACATCAGTCAGCCATATGTGGGTAGGTTGGTTGCAGTACACGAAACACCACTACACAAAAGTTAGTTCTATTTCTATACATTCACAATGAACAATAAGAAATTAAAATTTTTAAAAAAGTCATTTGAAATAACATTAAAAAGCATTACTTATGGATAAATCTAACAAAAGGTGTAAAAGACTTGAATATGGAAAACCACAAACCATTGCTTAGAGAAATGAAAGAACTAAATCAATGGAGAGATATACCATGTTCATGGGTTGGAGAAATCAATATCACTAAGGTGTGAAGTCT